AGTGTTGGATCCCCTGAAACAGGAATTACAGAGGGCTGTGGAACACCTGACATAGGTGCTGGGGACCAAACTCTGGTCCTCTGCAAGAGCAGTGAGCACTTTTAACCACTGGCCCACCTCTCCGTTCTCAGTGTAGCTTTTCCTTAAATTTCACTTTCAGGGCCTTATGCAGTACGAGACTGAATCTAGGTTTTTGTTTTGTATCTGCTCAACATAATAACTTTGAGACTCATGCAAGTTGTTATAAAGGATCAGTAGTAACTGGGTAGTGTTCCATGTGTGCTGGCTGTCGTCAACAAAGAAGCTGCTAGCGGACTGCAGGAGCTGCAGTCAAACGCAGCACCGTCATTTCTAAGCCGTCAGATCCACAACACACATCGAGCAATTTCTTATGCCTATACATAGAGCTAAGTCTGAGGGACAGTCTTTGAGAGTTCAAAGGAGTAACAAAGGAGAACATGGGGCAAATAGGAGCCATAGGAATCTAAAGTCAACAAGAGAGCACAGGAATCCAGGAGAGGGTGCATACAGAGACAAATTTCCCTCATGGACCAACATCGTTCTTGGTCCAAGCGCCCATCAGGGGCTGCAAAAAGGACAAGAATGAACTGACTGAGTGGACTGTAGTTCTAATACTGCTCTCTCCCTCTCTCTTGTCTTCCCAGCTCTTTTGACTTTCTCCTCTTTTTGAATTTGTTTTGAAGTCTTTTGTTTATTTGTTTTTTGTTGGGTTTTGTTTTGTTTCTGAGACAGGGTTTCTCTGTGTAGCCTTGGCTGTCCTGGATTCATTTTGTAGACCAGGCTGGCCTTGAACTCACATAGATCCTTCTGCTTCAGCCTCCCTGAGTGCTGGGATTAAAGGCATGCACTACCACGCCTGGCTGGTTTTGAAAACTTTTTAAAAGTATTTTTCTCTAAAAAATTTTTTTGAACATATATTTACTGTGTATAAGCATATTCCCTGATTTTCTTCCCCTCCCCAACACACACACAAGAACCCTGTTTTTTGTTGTTGTTGTTTGTTTTGACATAGGCTCTCATTTGTAACCCTATGTCAGCTGCTCTGCATATGGCCCACCATGCCCAGGAAACACTTTTGTGTGCGTGAATAGACAAATCTGGAAGATTTTTACCTACTCATGCCTGTTTCCTGGAATGTTTTGAAAGGTGACTTTTAGATTCAGCTACCATAGAATTAAAAGCAGAGCTGTGCATAGATGGCTCTGCTGAGTCTTTTTCCTTACATGATTTGAAGCACATCAACAAGGTAGGAAGGAAGCACAGGAAAATGATGTAATCTGTTATGTTTTTTCATCTCCAACTTTGTGTGCTGGGCAGGGCAACTCACACCTGTCATCCAGTAATCAGGAAGCTGAGGCAAGGGGAGTACAGTAAATTCAAGGACAGCCTGGACTGCAGAATGAGGCCCTGTCTTAAAACACACACACACACACACACACACACACACACACACACACACACACACGAGTCCCATCAACCCTATTTGCTATGCTCACGGGAAAAGGATATTTCACATCTGTGAAGCTTTCTTTTGGTTTTGGTTCATTATAATTCCTCCCACAATATGTTTAGAAACTATTCGGCAGGGGGAGGGGGGCGGGGGGGGCAGGAGGAAACAAAAACACGTCAACTCTAACAATAAATGAAATCAAATTTAGTTTGATAAGAGTAGTTCAGTGCCCTTGGAAAGCATCACAGATCAGAAGAATGGAAGGAGTCGTCTGAAAAAGAAATACATCTCAGGTGGTCAAGTGTCTGTCTGCGTCTGTGTCTTTCTAGCTTGCAAGAAATCTTGGCTCTTGCATCCAGCACCGCATTAGCTGGGTGTGGTAGCACTCACCTGTAATCTTAGAACATCATCAGTCAGGGCAAAGTCAAAATATATTCATCCCCATCTTCAAGTAGTTGGAGGCCAGCCTGGATTCTGTGATACCCTGCCTCAAAAACAGGTGTGACTGGTGTATGCCTCATATTCAGAATAGGTTTGATGCCAGCCTGGGCTCTGCAAGATCCTGTCTCAAAAAAAATAAAATAAAATCAAGTAGCCAGTTATATAAAAAAGAATAAAAATATTACATACAAACTACAAAAACCCATTGCAAAAACTTACCATACTTGTCACAACAGTTTCTAGTTAGATTAGTTTTTGAACCAATGAGACTGCTTTTTTTGTTTTTGTTTGTTTGTTTGGCTTTTGTTTGTTTTTAATGGGAACAAGGACTCCCAGCAATCCTCCAGTCTAAGCCTCCTGGATTATAGATGTGCCCCAGCTGCCTCGCCAGTGACTGTTCAGAAGGTCTTTAGCAATTCTGTGCATAGATTGCTTTAAAATGAGCCACTCTCCTGCTATAGCCTGCTTTCCCAGATACGTGCAATTGCTACCATTTGAGGCACTGGATCTGCAAGTCCTCATTTTGTAGCGTTCCCAGGAGCAGCCGTCATTTGTCTGAAATCTTCCTTTCTGAGCGGCCGCTCCAAACAGAAGTGAACCATCTTAGTGATATAGGTGATATAGGTACAAAGGGCCCAGGGCCTAAGAAGGTGCAGACTCGGAGATACGAAAATGATGTGCAATGTACAGTTTGTTTGTTTGATTTTTTGTTTTTGTTTGTTTTTGTTTTTCAAGACAGGTTTTTCTTCGTAGCCCTGGTTATCCTGGAACTCACTCTGGAGACCAGGTTGGCCTTGAACTCTTAGAGATCTGCCTGCCTCTTCAATTTCCAAGTACTGGGAATTGAAGACATGTGCCATCATCACCCTGATTTGGACAGTTTCTTAGCATAGGTGATGTCCAGAGCAGCAGTCAACATAATTTCAAAAGGAGTAAAATAATGACTTTTATAAGAATAGTTTTTACATTGGAAGAAAAATAGGGTTTCTAGGCATTACAGATAAAGGGCCGCTATTACCCAATAATGAATATGATGCATGAATTCATAACTTGTACTTAAGCTTCTAAATTTCTGGTATTAATTATTCAATGTTTCAAGACAGAGTCTCATATAACCCAGTTTGGTCTCCAGTTTGTCACTTGGCCAAAGATGGTCTTTAATTCTTTATCCCCCTGCCTCAGCCTTACATTTACTGGTATTATAAGCATGAACCACCATTCCCTGATCCAATTTTTATCATTAACGGGCTTCTGAGGACCAAATTCAAGTCACTGGGTTTATATGGCAAGCACCTTTGCCTCCTAAGCCATCTGGACAGGCCTAGATAATGTTTTGTGACATTAATAATATTGAATGTTGGGGAACAAATGCTAGATAAGCTCTCTACCAACTGAGCTACATCCCTAGCCATAGATAGATAGATAGATAGATAGATAGATAGATAGATAGATAGATAGATAGATGGATGATTAGAGCATACTCCATTAGAATTGGATATGCATGGTGGATATGCATGGTGGGATCTTTGCCTTTGTTTCGTGACTAGGACTGTCACTTCCACACAGCTACAAATGCCCAGCTTTCTCCAAATGAGATCCACTGTCTGGTGGCGCTGTGAAGAAAGCATGTCCACAGGATGCTGTACTCAGAGGTGGGCAAGGAGACTCACCCCCTGTCACCAATGAGCTCCCATCTACTTCACGTCGTGAGTCACCCTGTACTTGGAGATAAGTCCCAGAGCACAGTTCTATCGTCCACTGAAGCAAAGCGGACACACTTTTCCATTATGCCTGAGTCTGAAATGAAAGCTCGAGGAAGTGAGTGGAACATGAAGTCACCCCTTCCGCCCCAGCAGACAGATGCATAGAGACATTCTCATTTGTTTCCAGCCCTTTGTCTTCCGAGCACTTTTGGCATTTCCTTCAGGAAGCTGGAGGTTATGACCTAAGGTTTCCTTCGTGAACACACTCTGTTTCCCACAGTTAACCTTACCCAGAAATGACATCTACTCTAGTAGGTGAGGTTTATCTTCATGTCCCAACTGTGTCCTGTCCTGTGCATATTCAATGACACTTGAGAACACAGATTCTGAAAAGTAACAATAGGCTGAAAACCAAACACACCAAAGCACCCTGATTTAATCTGCTGCAAAAAATGGCAATAACTCCAAGAGTTAACTGTTATGATACTTTTGTGATATGTGCTTTCATTTCATAGTGATTTTCATCTTAGTAGGAATATTTGAATGGCCAAGAATACTGAAAAAGTTTAAAAAGCTGTGTGTGTGTGTGGGGGGGGGTGCATGGTGAGCTTCACCTTATGTTTTCCTTGTTACTTGTTAGAACTGAAACTGCAGAGTCCCATATTGTTCTCATAAGAACCCAAGGTAGAGTCCTAAAAAACGGGATGAGTTAGAGGCTAGAGATATAGCTCAGCTGGTAAAGTGAACCTGGGTTTAGTCCACAGCCCGGCATAAACCTGGGCCCAACACTTAGGTAGAGGTAGAAGCAGGAAGATCAAAAGTTTACATGCATCTTCACAGCGAGCATGAGGCAAGCCTAGAACACATGGCACCTTAAGAACAGACAAACCAAAAGTACGAAGCACTGAGTGATTCAACATTATCTGCGGCTACCCACATTTTCTCTTCCCAGAAAGAATGCACACTTTCGTTGCTGGGTTTAAACTGATTGTTTTAGTCATAATTTAAAATAGATTTAAGAATTCATTGTGTTTTGGACAGCTACGTTTTAGGGCAGAATTATTACAGTTAGTTTTGCTTAGCCTCAATGCACTTTAAAATCCAAATAGTTACATTTATTTGCTGTGGTCTTTAGAAGGTTTATGGTTTTTATTCCCTTATTCGCTACATGTTTCTAATGTTAATTTACTGAAGTTTCTCTTCCTGAAAAAGCTAGAGTGGTTTCTAAATAAACCACATTCCCCCCCCCCATACCCTAGCTTATCAAGGTAAAAACTTTTAAAGAGTAACAAAAATTTACCCTTTACTTTAATTCCAAAGAGCCCCATAATCAAGTTATCTCAGTGAATAATTTTTAAAAAGTTCTCTTCACAAAAGGATCTTTAAAAAAATCAGTTTATTAATGTTTAAAAGTTGATAAAGCTATGTGCAAAATAATCCACAAAAGTCAGAAACCTATTAAATACTATTTTTTAAAAAAAAAAGACATTTCTTGGTTTAATTGCACTTAAAACCATACTAAAAAGACAGCAATATATTTTTATTCTCTGTAACATTTACACCCACCATCCATGTCTAATGACAGCTGAAATGAAGAATTCTTGATGCTCCCTGTCTGCTAAAGTAATGCTTTTTCAGGTACAAGAGGGTGGCACTTTCTTAAGAACTACACATTCAATGGTGTTAACACAGGTTAGGAAAAAATTCAATAAGATGACCTCAAATAAACAAATACATTCAAAAATCATGAACTGTTCTTTAAACGAGATACAACCACCCACCCACCCCCAAGTTGGTTGAAATGGATCACACAGCAGTCTGAAATAATCAGTAAAAGTGCCAAAGGTTGTACTTGTTAGAGAAAGACATCAAGACATAGCTCTTAGATTGCAAAAATTCACCCCACATTTCACCTCACTCTATTGTTTTTCTCATGTATCTCCTAAGGGCCTGGCAGATATAACTCAAATGAAGTAGACTTCGTTATTCCCATTACAAACACATGCCCATGAGGAATAAGGAACACATTTTTATCTTGAAGGTAGCCTACCAAATCCCCAGCAACTTGAACCAGCTTACGTGGAAACTTTGGCCTCAACAAATAGCCTTCCCAGTCAACAGCCTACCCACTACAGACAATCAAGAAACAGAGCCCTCCACACCGTTCCTTCTGATGAACAAAGGTCAGGCAGTTAAGATATAAAGTAAAAGAATATGGAGAGAGGATGGGAAGGGGAGACAGGGTGAGATGGGGAGGGAGGGGTGGGACATGCACAAAGCCCAAACAAACTAAAGGGCACATACTCACTTTGTCATTACAGTAGGGGGGAAAAAATCACATCTCAAAACTCCAGGGACACTTTCTCTTGGGACCTCAGTCTTTGAGGAAGGGCCACCTGAGCCCTCCGGGAGCTTGACAATGCTAGACCAGTGCAAAAATCAAAGCTCCGGGGTGTTGGGGGGTGGGGCAGGAAACCAACTGCAGGCCAGACCTGATCTCCACCCTTCCCGGTGCGTTGTTCACAGGAACCACCTACCTACACCATGGCATCCCCAGGCCACACACTCTCCCTTCCCTCCCTCTCTCTCGGGCTCCTAGTCGCTCCTTCCCCAGGAACGAGAGACATTTTTGAGACGCTGGGGTAGTGGGTGACCAAGTCAAAATGCTTCCCCAGTATCAACAGCTTCCGGTTTTAAGAAGAGGAGTTGACGTTTCCAGAAGACATAATGGTCTCTGGGTTGTCCCCATCGTCCTTCTGGGGGTGAGAGGAGTTGTCTGATTTGCTGCGGCTAAATTCCATGCCTGGGATGATGGGCCTCTTGAATTTGCCAGTGGAGTCTCCGTTGGAGCATTTGCAACAGGATACGATCCGGATGAAGGCCCTGCGCATCTCCTTGTTGGTCAGAGTGTAGATGATAGGGTTGGTACCTGAGTTCAGTACAGCGAGAACCAGGAAGTACTCTGCTTTGTACAGGATGCTACAGGTCTTCGCTTTGCAGCCCACATCCAACAGCAACAGGATGAAGAGAGGGGCCCAGCAGGCAATGAAGACGCTCAGAACAATGATCACCGTCTTCAGCAAGGCCAGAGACTTCTCAGAACTGCGGCTGGCCTTGGAAATGTTCTTGCGGAAGGTCAGGCGGCGGCTTCTAGTCCTGACCAAGGAGTAGATCCTGCAGTAGAGGATGACGATGGACAGCAGGAGCAGCGTGAAGACGGTGGTGCAGAAGAGAATATAGTGCTTGTGGTAGAGCGGGAGCACGGTGGAGCAGCTGGATAGCGAGCTGATGCAGTTCCAGCCCATGATGGGCAGGCCACCCAGAATGAGCGAGATGACCCAGCAGGCGCTGATGAGCAGGAAGGAGCGCGAGCTGTTGCTCCCGTTGTGTAGTTTCATCTTCAGCATGGTGATGTAGCGCTCAATGGCGATGGCAAGGAGGCTGAAGACTGAGGCAGACAGAGCCACAAACATACTCCCTTCCCGCAGAAACCACTGGGCGGGGGTGAGCTTGTAGGTGGTGGCCCCAGACAACAGCAGGTTAGCCGTGTAAGCCACGCCTGCTAACAGGTCCGAGAGGGCCAGGTTGCCAATGAAATAGTACATGGGTCGGTGGAACTTCTTAGTTTTCCAAATAGTCAGCAAGACAAAGATATTCTCTAGGATGATGAAGCAGCAGATGAGAATGAACACCACTGAGGTCAGCTTAATGCCATGGTCCTTCTCCAGGCCGATGTTCAACTTGCCTGTGTAGTTGTAATGCCGGACTATGATATCATAGTTGCCATAGTCGGAGACAGGGCTGCGGAGGGCCTTGACCACTGGGACGCTGGTGGACACCATAGCCTCACTGTGTCCCCAGGAGCCCAGGGTGTTACTTCTCCAGACGAACGCTAGAGGGCGAGGTTGAGCGAGCCTTCAGTTACAGCAGGGCCCGGTCAGCGAGCAACCCAACCGCTTTTTGTGTTGCTATTCCTTGGCTGGAGAGGCCTCCCAAACAGCAGCCTTAAACAAGTTAGAAAGAAAAGAGTGTCAGGAAAAAAAGGCCCAGCACACTAGCATAATTCATTCTAGCCAAGGCATTGCTCCAATTTTGTTGTTGATTTGTTTTAAGGAAATTTGGCCAGAGCACAGGGAGGATTTCTTTTTTTTAAAAAAAAAAACTCATTATCATTTCTAGTAACAAAACAAAAATAGACGAACAAAAGAGAGAGAGATGAAGTTAGAAAAAAGAGGAAGGAAACAAAAAGAAATTTTACCCAGAATGAAAACTCTGACTAGACAATAACCTTCCCGTGGGTCACTAAATCCAGCAAGACGGGAATGGGAAAGAGCGCCCCGTTCCTCGCCACTTCCCCTGGCATTGCCACCCCCAGTGCCCTGAGATTCCTTCAAGTGGTCACCAGCTCGGCTGCTTGCTCACCACCAGCCAAGAGCCTCCTCTCACAGAAGGCCCCAAACTGCCACTTCGGGATACAATTGCAGACATGCAAACCCTGGCTACCCCCAACCCCCTGGACACACACACACACACACACACACACACACAGCGAAAGAGCTCAGAAACGAGCCCACCTCCTAATTACCATGCAAGAAAGTAGATTTGCAGGAGGACCATTCTACAACCTAAGTCGTTGTCTGGGCTCTATTAATAACTCCCCAGGAGCAGGTGTGCTGAGGGACGGGTTGGAGGGCCCAGCGAGGTGTGGGCCGCCAGGCCTTGAAGTAAACAGGAAAGCTTGGCGCCTCCGTGAAGCAACTGCCCATTCTTTCCTTTTCTTCTTCTTCTGTTTTCCTTTACTCCCCACCCAGCCTGCCCACAGGTCAATCCATTACATTTAAAGGTATTCATCGAGGACCCCTCCCTAAGAGATTGCAGCAAACCCCACAAGTTTCCACACGAACTGATTGCCTAAGTCTTTTGACTTTAGCCGACACGCGCATGCACACACAGCCACACTGCCCAGCGCGTTCTAACTCCGGGTCCGTTACTTTCCAGAAACACGTAGTGCTAAACCTGCACGGGCAGTTTATCTGGGTGTTATCCCCATCCTCTCCCCCCAACGTTGCCTCCTCTCACAGAACTGGCATCCCTAAAGGAAGGAGAGCAATAAGTACTTTCAAGACTGCACGGTGAAGGATCAACGTGATCAAAATGAAGGAGAAAACAAAATCAAACAAACACTAAAGCCATTTCAGTCACTTCCATGGCAAAAATTCAGTAGCGTCCACGTTTCCTCACCCCGACCCCACAGTACACTTTCGGGCAAGGGAAGTCATTGCCTGTGATGCCTGATAAATTTCGTCTACATGGTTCTCAAAAATAAGCATCTCCCCCTTTCTCCCTTCTAATGAACCGAAGCTTCTCTGACATGACCCCCCCACACACACACACACACACCCCGGTCGTTTCTATAATTTAGGAATTAATCTTTTTTTTTCTAAACTTCTTAAACTCCGTTCTCCAAGAAGCCAATCAAAATAGGCTCTGTAAGCAGCCTGGTGATGCATGCTTTAAAAAAAAAAAAAAATTTCCCCCAAAGTTTTTGTTCGTTCCGTTCTACTTTAAAGCTTCACTCTTGATACCTGGACACCCCGCAGCCGGCGAGGGAGCCTGCGAGGCTCGCAACCCCGTACCTCGCTCAAGCCGGACGAAGCTGCGTCCGCAGGGCTCCGGGTCTACACCGCCCGATCCGCATCTTGCTGCCGTCCGCGACTGACGGCGGCCAGCTCACTCGAAAAGTTCCCTGCGCTGGGTTCTCCTCCCTCTGCGGCCGTGCACTCGCAGTGGCCAGCTCTGCCTGCGCCGCCTGCGCTGCCCGCACTGCTCCGCGAGGCGCCCGGCCGAGGCTGGGTGGCTCCTCTAGGAAGGGACTGGGAGGGGTTAACGCCTGTAACTCCTCCGCCCTCTGCCAGCGGCAGGGGGCCCCTCTGGGTCCAGGCTGCAGAGAAGTCGCCTCCCAGAAAGATCTGGGCCAGAGTGACTAAAATACAACGAAATGAATAGAAACCCCTCCGCCCCAACCAGCCGGGAGAGGGGGGAGAGAAGGGGCGGAGCCTGGCAGCCCCTAAAATTCTAATTCACAAATCACGTCTCTCGCCAGCTATCCCCAGCAGTCCCCAGCTCTGGAGAGGACTCCGAAACTAGACATGGGATACACTTGGAAAACTTTTCTTCCTTAAAATTCTTAGAGGACAGAGGACAAGCCGGTCTCTCATAGAGCACCTTCCTGGTCCCCGATCCCACAGCCCTGAGGATCCGTTTGGCTCCTGTGTCCCGGTACCCCGGGGGCCACTTCCACGAGGTCAGGGGAAACCAGCGCCGCTGCCCTGCAATCCGCTGCGCCGCTGGGGGAAGATCCTGGGAAGCGACTGCAAGGACCGCCGCCTGAGGCGAGCGGCCCGAAGGCTCTGAAAAGCCTCTGTCTTCCTCTCCCCTCCACTCGATCCTAGCAAAGCCTTAGAGCTTGCGGTTGGTTGGTGGGCAGAGAGCGGCTTTCCCCAGGCGCAAGGTGAAGTGGGCCAGCTCCGGGCTTGGTGTTGGGCGGGGGTTCCCCTCTCTCAGCTGAGCGCAAAGCCAAGCGCTGTGCCCCAGATTCTGGGAAGCTCTGAGGCCTTTGAGGAGGTGGGCTACTGGCCCGGCCCTGAGAGATTTAAACAATCCGGCAGCTCAGGAATTTCCACACGGAAAAGGGTTGCCTGGCTTTTCACAAGCCAGCACCTAGGGCAGCCTGGCTAGAGCTGGGAGCCCTTTTCTCTTTCTACTTGAGAGATAACTAAGACGCCCCCAAATCTAAAGAGTCAAACCTCGACTACATTTTTCTTTTGCTAGATAATACTTAGGAGATGAAGGCTGAAGAGGTCTTGGTCAGACTCTGGACCTTTACGCCTTGCCCTACTGTTAAAAAGAGGTTTCACCCAAGTCCCCTAGTCGCACTGCCTTCCCACCCTGAGCAGATGTGAACACAAAACTTCCTCGCTGTGCAGTTTCAATTGACAGACACACCCTGTACCTGAATGACTCAAAAGAGGCTGAATGAACAAACAACAGACCCCTACCTTCAGGGATTTTATGAGCCCGCAAAAAGAAAAAAAAGTAACTGTTAATTCACATTTGCCTAGAAGCAGTCATCAACAACCTTGTGCCTTACATGCCCACAAACTACAGAACTTGCAAAATAATATGGAAACCAAGATAACAGCCATGCGGACTCCTCCGGAAAAGTAGAGTTTGAGACTTGCTTCATTTGAAAGAGAAGATAATCCAAGTCTATCACTGCACAGCAGAGGCATGGAGTTAGCCTCCCCTCCTCCCTCCACTGATGTGGGAGGTCTTTAAGGGGGCATTGTGCACCACCTTGCTGCCTCGGGATGTGATGGACAATGGAGCACCCTCGGCCCTTCAACCCATGGGGGAAATTCTCAGCCCTAGAGACCTGTAGATTGCCCAGCTAGTGTGTGGTACAGCTGGGTCCCCGAATGCTAAGGTGTCTCTTGCCTGCTGACTCAGATGCTGTCAATCACTGAGAAAATGGTCAGATTACTTTCCTGAACAGAGCAGACCTCTGCACTTAAGATTTTTAAAGTTTGTGCTTGCCTTTAAATATGAATAAAACTGTTTACTAGGGGAAGAAGATGGAGGGAGGGTGGGACTAAGGGGGGGGTACAGCAGGGATACAAAGTAAATAAACTGTAATAAATAACAATAATAATAAATTCTTTTCCAAAAAAGAACCCTAGTGTGTGTTTCAGGGTGGGGTCCAGTAAGTAGCCCAGGCTGCCTCAAACTTGAGAGGTTGCCAGCTCTGCTCTCAAGTATGGGTTATCGCACTCAGCTATGTGTCAGCATCATTAACACACACGGAAACAGCCAGGCACGGTGATGCATGCCTGTAATCTCAGAACCTGCAGAGGCAGGAAGGTCAGTTCAAGAGTATGCTCAGCTGTACAGTAAGCTGGAGGCCACCTTGGGATACTTGAGATTCCTTCAAACACACACACACACACACACACACACACACACACACAGAACAAAGACTTGGGTGTATTTCAGTGGTAAACTGTTTCCGTAGTGTGTGCAATGCCCTGAGTTCAATTTCCAGTACTAAGAAAAGATAGACTATACGTGGTGACAAATGCTTTTGGTCCTAGCATTCCAGAGGCAGAGGCAGGCAGATCTTTGTAAGTTTGAAGCCAGCCAAGTCTGTATAGCTAGTTCTAGGCTAGCCAGGGATATATAGTGAGACCCTGTCTTCTATGAAGAGAGAAACAAACAAACAAACAAAAAAGATAAACATATTGTAGAGCCAGGGTTCTCTGAAGGAACAGAACTGATTGTGGTATGGCTGGCTAGTCCAGCAATGGCTGTCTCCTGATAGAAAGGTGAAGAATCTAGCAACCACAAGTTCTTGAGCCTGAAGGTCTCAGCAATACCAGTCTGGTTCAGGAGTCCTGGAGGATTCCTAGAAAGCTGCTGGTCATCCATCAGTCTCCACTGGAGTCCTGCAGTAGGTTCTAATGGTAATGAAGGAATGACTTGCCTCAGCAGCAGGACAGATGAACTCAGCTAGCGTGACAGCAAGCAGGCAAAAAGCAAACACTTCTTCCTTGTCCTTCTTCCATGTCCTTTTATGAGGGCTGCCACCAGAAGGGGTGCTCTAAATTTGGGGTGGGTCTTTTCACCTCAAGAAAATCCTATTAAGAAAATCCCTCACAGCCATGTCCAGCTGCTAGGGTTTCAGTTGATTCCAGATGACAAGGTGGAAAGCAAGATTGGTTGTCACACATATATTGATATAGATGTATGTAACTATAGATATTAGGATCCTTTTTTTCATTAATTAATTTACTTTGCTTCCAATGGGAACTTCCCCTCTCTCCTCTCCTCCCAGCTATTCCCTCCTCCCTCCCCTCCCCTTTTTCTCAGAGAAGGGGTGACCTTCCATGGGTATCAATCAAGTAAGACTGGGCACATCTTCTATTGAAGTTAAACAAGGTTGTCCAGTTGGGGGAAAAGATCCAAAGGCAGTCAACAGTCAGAGACAGCCCCTGCTTCTGCTGTTAAAGGTCCCACATGAGGAACAAGCTGTTATATATGTGGGGGGTAGTTCTAGGGGGTCCCCTGGGTGCTTTCTGGTTGGTGGTTCAGTCTCTGTGAGACCCTATGGGCCCAAGTTAATTTTGCAGGTTTTCTTGCGTTGTCATTAACCTCCCTGGCTCTTTCAACCCTTCCTTCCACTCTTCCATAAGATTCCCCCAGCTCCACCTAATGTTTGGCTGTGAGTCTCTGCATCTGCTTTTATCAACTGTTGGGTGAAGACACTCAGATGACTGTTATGCTAGCCTCCCGTGTGTATGCAGAGCAGAATATTATTAATAATGTCGGGTGGTCTCTCTCTCTCTCATGGCATGCAACTCAAGTTGGGCAATTGGTTGGCTGGGTAGAGGTTTTGTGGGTGGGTTGTGTCTCCCTCCCTCCACTAGAAGTCCTGGCTGCTGCAGGAAGTGGCCATTCAGGCTCCATAACTCTGCTGCTAGGAGTCTCAGCTACAGTCACCACTATAGACTCCTGGGGGCCTGCTCTGTTCCACAGGCATCTCGCCATCACCGTTTCTGTTCTCTCTCCCAGCCCTCTTTACTCCTCTCCACCCCCATTACCTTTCCCAATCCCTCTCCCACCTCATTTCCTCCCTCTAACTACTGCAGATGTCTTTTTTATTTCCCCTTGTGAGAGAGATTCAGGCATCCTCCCTTGGCTCCTCCTTGTTACTTAGCTTCTTTGGGTCTGTGGAGTGTAGCATGGTTATCCTGTACTTTGTGGCTAATATCCACTTAGAAGTGAGTGCCTACCATGTGTGTCTCTCTGGGTCTGGGTTACATCATTCAGGATGACATTTTCTAGGTCCATCCATTTGACTGCAAATTGCAAGATGCCTTTGTTTTTAAAGCTGAGTAGTTTCCCATTGTGTAAATGTACTAGTCTCTTTATCCATTCTTCAGTTGAGGGACATCTAGGTTGTTTCCAGTCTTGCTGCTTTGAACAAAGACAAATAAAGCTGCTATGAACATAGTTGTGCAAGTGACCTTGTGGTATAATGGAGCATCTTTTGGGTATATGCCCAGAGGTAGTGTAGCTGGGTCTTGAGGTAGAACTATCCCCAATTTTCTGAGAAACCACCAAATTGATTTCCAAAGTGGTTGGACAAGTTTACACTCCCACTAGCAATGGAGGAATGCTCCTCTTGCTCCACATCTTCGCCAGCATATGCTGTCACTTGAGTTTTTGATCTTAGCCTTTCTGATAGGGGTAAAATGGAATCTCAGCATCATTTTGATTTTGCATTTCCCTGATGACTAAGGATGTTGAGCATTTAAGTGCTCCTCAGCCATTAGAGAGTCCTCTGTTGAGAATTCTCTGTTTAGCTCTTACCCCACTGGGGATAGGGTGGGCCTCACCACTACTTGGTTTGGGAAGGGCATGAAGTGGCAGGCAGGGAACTGGGTGGAGGTGGTGTCACCTAGTGGTCCATGATGGCAGCAGGCCCCTGTGAAAGCAGGTAGGCCTGGAGACGTGTGGCACAGGGAACAGGATTGGGCTCACTGCTACTGGGCTTGCCCAGGGGAACCCAGCAGGCAAGGGCTCAGGACGTAGGGGTCTCACCTGTTTGTCCCAGGTGGCAGCAGGCCTCCAGGGATGCAGGCCAAGCTATTAGAATGTTATACAGCCCAGGATGAACTCAAGATCCACTCATATTCAATATGGACTATCTCAATTTCTGACCTTCCTGCTTCCAATTCTCAAGTGTTGGTATCGCAGGCATGCACCCCCCCCCCCCCTGGCTTTATGTTTAAACAGTAAAGAGGATTGAAGTAAGCTTTATGCATGCTAGGCAAGTACTCTACCAACATAGCTTCCTCCTAATGAATGTTAGCTGGAACTTCTCAGTGCCCACCTTACAGACCTAAAGAAACTTGCACTTTCAGGAATTGTATATCAGATTCA